CCCAGCCTAGGCGTTGTCTGCCGAGACCAGTTTCCCCGGCCCCTGAGCGGTTTTGTCCCTTCTTGAAGGCCCCTGGCGCTGCCACCGCCTGCTTGAACGGGCCACCAGCGCGCTTTCCTTCTACAGGTGGCAAGGCCAGGCTCCGAGAGGTTAGGGCGCTGGCCCCGGGTGGCGCAGCAGGCGAGGGGTGCCACTGCCAGAGCGGGATTCAGGCTCGCTAGAGCTCAGAGGGTCGGCTGCGGCCAGGGAGATCGCCTCTGACTCCCGGGTCCTCTTCTCTCTCTGATCTCAGAACCCCAGCCCTTGACGACCCGGGTCCTGCGTACTCAGTCCGTTCCCGCTGCGTCCCTCCATCCCTCTCCCAAGGGCCAGTTCAGCCTCCTCTGGTCGGAAAGGAACCAGGGAGCCAGAGGAAAGCAAACTCAGCCCCAGGGGCCTGAGGCAGAGGTTGGGGGGGGGTCAGCCTAGGTCCCCGGAGCCGGGTCTCTCAGCACACCCTCCGCCCCTCGCCGCTAGAGCGGCCCCTGGGCCTTCCCCTCCCTGGGCACGGCATCCCTTGTTCAGCCTCCTGGGCACAGCCTCTCCCGGCCTCTCTCTTCCTCTCTGACCTGCTTCCCCGTTTCCCCGGTGTTTCGCTGTGCCTTTGCCTCTGTCTCTGCCTCTCATTGTCTCTGCCTGTCTCTCATCGGATCTCTGCCCGTGAAGCTACCCCCATTCCCCGCCCCCGCAAAGGAACACACACGGGCAGAATCCGCCTTTGCAATAAAAAACGACAACTGGGAAACAGTGAATTAAAAAGCATTAACTTAAAAACAATCCATGTGTCTGCAAATGCGTTCCAAATGACAGCCCTTTGGGAGTGGGGGGCGTGTCGGCCACATGTTCTGGAGCCTCAGACACTAAATGTAGGGGGCTCAGTAACTCGCGGTGGATCCCTCCTGCTAGCCACCTGGGACAGTGGGATCTGGAGGGGAGGGAGTCTCCCCTCCAACTTCATGGACCCCTACTGGGTCCATGCGTTCTGGCATCGCTGGTCCCACCTACTCCCGCCTCCCCCCAACAAACTTTCCTAGCTGATCTCAACTCTCCCTTTGCACCAGCCCTCCCTGTCCCCACCCCACTCACATCGATTCACCTCCCCCCACCCCAAGTCTTCCACCAACACTCCTTGCTGCACCAGAGGCCTGCCCTGTCCCACCCTCATTCTGCCCTCCTGCCCCTAGACCACCCAGCAGTCCTGGCTCAGAGAAGTGGTTAGAACCAAAGCTTTCCTTGGCCTGAAGAGACTCCCCAGGGAGCTGAAGGCAGAAAGGGTGCTGCCAGCCCCACGACGACCTGCAGCTGCTGTGTCCTGCCCATGCTAATCAAAGATGGTGTCTCCAAAGGCTGGCCTCTCCCAAGGTTGCAGAAGGAGGCTGCTATTGTTTGAAGCCCGTCACCAAGACAGGACCTCCCTTCAAAGTTTCATCATGCTGCCCTCGCCCCCTCCCCCCGACTTATTCCTAACAGCCTTCCTTAGCCTTTTTCTCTGGAAACTGGAAGAATTGGAGTACGTCCACTAGGCTTAATTAGAGACGATGCGACTGGGTGAGGGCCCAGATTTCTACTTCACCTTCAGTGTCTTCTCAACTGGGAGAGAGATCTTGAACCCATAAACCAGAGGGAGAATTCTGAATTCTTAGCCTTGCTCTGCTAATCATAACTTATGATGATAACAATAATAGTAATATAGTAGCTAACATTTATTGAGCACTTACTGTGTGCTCTGTATCTGTTTACTCACAGAAATCACTAATGGCTATATGATTTCAAGCAGTAGCTCATCCTACCTGGATCTCAGTTTCCCTATCTGTAGCAGGAAAGGTGGAACCAGAGGCCCTCCCTATTTAGACAGTGTGTCTGAAACATCTGTAATGGAAACAAAATCTCCTGGACAAGTTGTATTTGTCACTGTTCCTATCTGTTTTAAATGACATAAAGACATCTACTAGGCAAGTTCGGCTTCAGGTTATTCTGTTCTTGAAACAACAAAACAAGAATGCCATTGCTTTTTTAAAAAATCATGGCTGGGCACAGTAGATCAGGCCTGTAATTCCAGCACTTTGGGAGGCCAAGGCTGGAGAATTGCTTGAGCCCAAGAGTTCGAGACCAGCCTGGGCAACATGCCAAAATCCCATCTCTACCAAAAAAAATACAAAAATTAATCAGGTGTGGTGGTGTGTGCCTGTAGTCCCAGCTATTTGAGAGGCTGAAATGGGAGGATCACTTGAGCCCAGGAAGTAGAGGTTGCACTAAGCCAAGATTACACCACTGTACTCCAGCCTGGGCAACAGAGCAAGACCCTGTCTCAAAAAAGTTAAAATTAGAAAAAATGTTTAAATCATAACAGTTCTCACCAAATCAAATTATTCTTCATCTTAATAGGGATGAGCCATTTAATTTTATTTTTAATAATAAAAATGTTCTGTTTTCATTACACGAGGGAGCCTTTCAAAATTCACATGGCTACTACCATGTCTCACTTGATGACTTACCAGATTCTGGAGGAACCCGATGTGAGTATTTATACAAAGCCCCCTGGTGATTCTGATTTGAGAATTCTGATTCTCATGTAATTTCTGAATCTAGAATCAGATATCTGATACCTATCATTCTTATGTGATCTCATCTCTGATTCTGAGATTCTAATTGAGAATCACTGATGCTGCTTTCTGAGAATTTTTGCTTCTGTAGATTTAAGCAATTTCTCTGTGTGTGTACCCTTACACATATGTTCCCAGAGGCTGTGAAGGTGCATATGCTACACACATGTGTCTCTGGGGGTGGGTGCCTATGCTTCTGGGCAAATGTGTGTGACCATGCCTTTGTGTCACGTTTGTGTAAATGAGGAGATATGTGTGCTTGTGTGTGGATGTGTCCTGTGCCTGCATTGATGGGCTTGCCATTTTCTGAAGCCTCCAACAGGGAAGGAGTTTCTCTGGAGGAGGAGCCCATCAGGCCCCTGAAATGCCAGTTGAGCAATCTCTGGGCTCCAGAACTGACAGAGCTTCTCTCCTGATTGGAGAAGAGGGACAACAGATTTTGAGCATAAACACAGATCTCTGTGCTGAGCATTCTAATTCTGCAAGTCAAGTAGAGAGCCCGTGCAGCCGCCTGCTAATTAGCTACCCTGGGGAAAAAATGGCCTGTGTTGGAGTGGATAATGTGTTTGCCTGTTTCCGTGGGATCCTTGACCAACTGAATGCCCCCACCTCCCTCTACCCTCTCCCGTGGGCCTGTCTTCCTGCAGCCCCAGCTCGGAAAGATGGTGCAGCCTGTGCATGCCTCAGCTCCAGTATGTCGGCTTTTTCAAACAGGCCAATTGCTAAGCAAATGTCATTTGAGCTGGAGCTTGGAAGGCTCTCAATGAGATAAATGATCCATTTGAATAGATGAAGATGGGTCCCACACTGGATGAAGATGAGCTAATAAAGTTCCCGTAATATTAAGCACAGGCTCCACGTCCCCTCCCCAGGCAAACTGCACCCTCAACAGCAGGGGCTCTGCCACAGCACAGGACAAATCCTCAGGTACCTGCAGCTGAGGATCTCAGGCTTAACAGATCCCCAGTCCTAGTGAACCTCTGAGTCCCTCTGCCTGGGTCCCTTTGGCAGTGCTATGGGCTGGTGGGTGCAGGAGGCTTACCATACTGGGCTGAGGGGTAGCTGCCTACTGTGGCTCAAGTCATGCCCTTCCCATGCTTGTATACACACGTGTACACATGCTACACTCACCTGTAGTCTGAGCCCTTGATTTTAACCTCTGGTACACTCTCACATGTAGAAAGGTCCGTACACAGAGGTGTACAAAATATCTATAAACCTCCATACCTCCATAAGTAGACAATAACACCTATACAATGTACAGGTTCACCAGCTCATAGAGATATGAACTATACAGATATCAGATATAGATACTGTTATGGACTGAATGTGTTCCCCTAAAATTCACATGTCAAAGCCCTAACCCCCAGTGTGATGGTATTTGGGGTTGGGCCCTTGGGAGGTAATTAGATTTATATCAAGTCTTGAGGGTGGGACCCTATGATGGGATTCATGTTTTTATAAGATTTCTCTCTCACGCTCGCGCGTGCGCTCTCTCTCTCTGCCTCCTCCCACTTGAGGATACAGGGAGAAAGTGGCCATGTACAAGCCAGGAAGAGTCCTCACCAGAAACCAAATCTGCTGACACCTTGATCTTGGACTTCTCAGCCTCCAAAACTATGAGAAATAAATGTCTGTGGTTTAAGCCACCCAGTCTGTAGTATTTTGTCATAGCAGCCTGAGCAGACTAAAACAGATATGCACTAGGAATGATGCTTGCGCACATTTGCACGTATTCACTCACCCATCAATAAATATTATTGCTACACTCCTAGAGACATACTGGAATGTGTGCGCACTGCTCCCATTACTGCTGACTCTTATGTATGCAACTCTTACCGCGGTGAGCATTTCACAGGCTTCCTCTCACTTTATTCTCAGGATATCCCCAAGAGGGGGACATTTATTAGCTCTATTTTATAAAACAGGAGGCTAAAATGAATGAGGTGCTCAGGGTTGGTTGCACAGCTGCGAAGCGGTAGAGCTGGAATTTGAACTCAGGTCTGCCGACTGCAACGTGCATGCTCTGTCGGGATCATAAATAATCCAGCATTCAGAGCTGGGGGACAGGAACCTCAGTAGGGTCTAAGAGAACAATCCTGGCACTCTTGTGAGGCCGAAGCCTGCATTCCCTAGGGCGCAGGACTTGTTCGGCCTAGCACCTTATGACTCACTTACTATAATTGGGTACAGCTGTCTCCCAGAGTGTGGCAAGGTCTCCCCAAGTGCAGATTCACAGGCATCTCTGAAACCATTAAAGAACTGGCTTTCAACTTTTGTTCAAAATAATGACCATGAGAAGAGTAATAATATAAACTGATTTTAATATATGCCCAGCTTAAATGACAAGCTCTGCTCCAGTGCTGATATTTTCTGCCAATACAAAATTATTTTATTCTTAGTACAAAGTTTCTTATCAGATGCATGCTGCTATGTGTTTTTAATTAATAATGAGATCATTTAATGGCCCATTTGCCCCTGATTTCTAACTGTAGCACCGACTCCCACACCCAGGTCCTCTCGTTTCCAGTTATCAGGTGCCAGGGTGCGTTCTGGTTTCTCAGGCCCTGAACTCCCTATGTCCAGCTCTTCTGAAACCTCCCAACCCCATCCAGAGCTGCCCTGGGAATAGTTTGGACTCTCCATCAACCCTGGGCTGTAGAAGGGCCTGGGGCAACCCCATGGGCACGTCACACTCCTCCATCCCTGGACTAGCACCCTGGCTGGCTCCCCAGAAGAAAAATGAAGGTCCTCCTGACAGGCAAGCATAAATATTTTCTTTTCCAGCCTCGTTCAGATGGGGATCTTTGCTGTTAATAAAGTGGCAGCTGGCTATCTGGGAGTGTCTGAACGTGGCCTTCTCTGGCAAACAGCGCATCATCCATCTCTGTCCTCACCCCGTCAGATGACAAGACTTTGCTGGCCTGCTCCTTGTTGGAATGTGCCTTGGCTGGCAGAAAGCAGGCAGGAAGCATTTGCAAAACACCAGTTTCATCTTCTCTCTGCGGAGGGGCCGGGAGGAGTGAGCTGAGTTTGCTGCTCTTGGCAAGCCCATCTATCAGGAGTGTGGCCATCGGGTGCCGGGCAAGGCTATTTATTTAAGCCTCACATCAGGCAGTGAGACTTAATTTATGGGGACAGGAGGGAGGATGTTGGAGCAGGCTGGGTCTTCCCACTTTGAAAGGTGCTCAGACCAGAAAGGGCAACAGCACGTAATGGGAAATCGTGCTGTGCTTTGTAGCATGTGGCCTGGAAATGGAGTTGCAAGGCCCGGAAAGGTTTTGAAATAACATTGCAGGTTGGAGCCCTCCCTGCCCCCACCTGGAAATAGGTGTTAGGATGGAAAACAGGGCACCTCGCTTCACCCCTCATCACCAGCCAGGGCTGTTGAAATGAAAACAAAAAATTCTTCCTTAAAAGAAAACGTATTTTCCAAAGTTCTGTGAATTTTCTCTTGACTTCCAACTTCACAAAAGGCTGAGTGAAGGCTTGGAGCTATGGAGCTTGCTTGGGGGACCAAGGAGGAAGCACTGTGGGGGTAGATATCACCAGCCTCCAGGCTGGTGCTGTTCAGGTTTGTTCATCCACACATCTGGTGAGCAGTAGGCCTCTGGATGGTGAAAAGATACAAAGATTTAGGGTCGCCTAGGCCTGGGCTCAATTCCCCACTGTATTAGGTTCCCAAGGTTACCTGGGGAAAATTATTCGACCTTTCTGTGTTTTAGTTTCCCCATATGTAGAATGGGGACAGTAATACAGATGTCTGTGGATTGGTATAGGATACTATTGAAGCCCGCCCATGACAGTGCCCATTATAGCACTTCCTCACAATCAGTGCTTGGCAACATGTTGAATTTTGTTGAAGGAGCTCACAGAGGTTTCCCATTGCCTGCAGAATGGGGCAGAACTCTTACTTTTACAGTCAATACTTTCTGGGATCTGATCCCAACCAATCCTCTCACCTGGCGTCCCAGGATTCTCCTACTAAAATTGGTGTGCAGGGCCTGACCACGCCCTGTCCATTCACTCTACACCACGGCACCCCCAGCTGCTTGCCCATGCCGTCTGCACACAGCACACCCTCGCATAGCCTCCCCTCCTCATTGCACCTTCCGTCCGGGGGCCCTGTCATCAGGGGTGGCGAGAACTACCACTTACGAGTGCGTGTTGTGAGTCAGACACTGCACGTGTGTTATTTTCGATCTGTATTTTACAGGATCAGGAGAGACAGAGTCAAGAGAAAGGAAAGGGAGCACAGTAAGGAATTTCCAGTAGTCAAACAATACGGTCAAATTTACCATAGAGGAAACACCACTGTGAGCCAAAGAAGAGATCATGGAGTAGGGGAGGAGGCCAAGTGTCAGGGAGGAGGCTGGGGGTCAGGGAGGAGGCTGGGGGTCAGGGAGGAGGCTGGGGGTCAGGGAGGAGGCTGGGGGTCAGGGAGGAGGTTGAGGAGTCAGGGAGGAGGCTGGGGGTCAGGGAGGAGGCTGGGGGTCAGGGAGGAGGCTGGGGGTCAGGGAGGAGGCTGGGGGTCAGGGAGGAGGTTGAGGGTCAGGGAGGAGGCTGGGGGTCAGGGAGGAGGCTGAGGGTCAGGGAGGAGGCTGGGGGTCAGGGAGGAGGCCAAGTGTCAGGGAGGAGGCTGGGGGTCAGGGAGGAGGTTGAGGGTCAGGGAGGAGGCTGGGGTCAGGGAGGAGGCCAAGTGTCAGGGAGGAGGTTGGGGGTCAGGGAGGAGGCCAAGTGTCAGGGAGGAGGTTGAGGGTCAGGGAGGAGGCTGGGGGTCAGGGAGGAGGCCAAGTGTCAGGGAGGAGGTTGGGGGTCAGGGAGGGGGCTGAGGGTCAGGGAGGAGGCTGGGGGACAGGGAGGAGGCTGGGGGTCAGGGAGGAGGTTGAGGAGTCAGGGAGGAGGCTGGGGGTCAGGGAGGAGGCTGGGGGTCAGGGAGGAGGCTGGGGGTCAGGGAGGAGGCTGGGGGTCAGGGAGGAGGCTGGGGGTCAGGGAGGAGGCTGGGGGTCAGGGAGGAGGTTGAGGAGTCAGGGAGGAGGCTGGGGGTCAGGGAGGAGACTGGGGGTCAGGGAGGAGGCTGAGAATCAGATTCTTACCTTATTAAATTAAAATTTTAAAAAATTAGCCAGGCATGGTGGCATGCATCTGTAGTCGCAGCCACTCAGGAAGCTGAAGCAGGAGAATTGCTTGAACCCAGGAGGCGGAGGTTGCAGTGAGCCGAGATTACGCCACTGCACTCTAGCCTGGGCAACTGAGTGAGACCGTCTCAAAAAACAAAAAAATCTGACCCTGCAGGCCCTGAGATTCTCCAGGTTAAAGTCACAAACACCCACCCTTTCTAAGACTAAAGTTTGGGAGATGCTAAGATGGTAGCAGTGGTGCCGACCTCAGGATGCAGAGGGCCTTATCTCTCCCCACCCAGGATCCCAGCAAGGAAAGACAGCGAGCGTGGCTTTCGGATGGAGAGGAGAGGCTGGGTTTGAGAGTTTGCTTCATTTGTTCATTCAGTGCGTATGTAATGCGCAACCACTGTGTGTCAGGCTGGATTCCAGCTGCTGGAATACAGTAGTGAACAAAGCAATACGAAATCTCTGCCCTCCTGGAGTTTACATCCTAGTGGGAGAAACAGATCATAAACTAATCAGAAAAAGATACAGTGTTAGATAAGGATAAGTGCTATAAAGAAACATCAAAGCAAGGGTATGGGATATCAAAGGATAGGGTCAGTGACAAAATTATGGATACAGTAGCCACAGAGGGCCTCGCTAACAGGGTAACTTCTGAAAGCAGACTAGAAAGAAGCAAGAGTGAGCCCCGCAGACGTCTAGGGGAAGCATCCCAGGCAAAAGGAATTAGGAGCACCAAGGCTCCAAGGCAGGAGCGTGCCCAGAATGTGCCAGGAGAGGGTAGGGCCTGTGGGGTTGGAGGGGGCGCAAAGGGAGAGGATTAGGAGAACTCAGAGGGGTACGAAAGGAGGTGGGTCAAAATGGGCCTTGTCTGTCTCAGGCTCCTGGAGGTCAGGACTCTGGTGCTGGGGCCTTGGGCAGGCCCTTCCTTCTCCAGCTGATTTCTCCCAGTGGAGGATACGTGTGGTATAGATGTGATTGTGAAAGCTTTGAGGATTATGCCATGTGCTGAACACAACTCAGAACCTGTGGCCAGGTGCGGCGGCTCACTCCTGTAATTCCAGCACTTTGGGAGGCCGAGATGGGTGGATCACCTGAGTTCAAGACCTGCCTGGCCAAAATGGTGAAACCCCATCTCTACTAAAAATACAAAAATTAGTGGGGTGCGGTGGCGCATGCCTGTAATCCCAGCTATTTAAGAGGCTGAGGCAAGAGAATCACTTGAACCCAGGAGGCGGAGGTTGCAGTGAGCTGAGATTATGCCACTGCACTCTAGCCTGGGCAACAGAGTGAGACTGCCTCAAAAAACAAAGAAATCTGACCCTGCAGGCCGTGAGATTCCCCGGGTTAAAGTCACAAACACCTACCCTTTCTGAGACTAAAGTTTGGGAGATGCTAAGATGGTAGCAGTGGTGCCGACCTCAGGATGCAGAGGGCTTTACCTCTCCCCACCCACCTGCTGCTCCTGCCCCCTGGGAAGCAAGAGAGGGGCTGACTTCAGGCCACACTGGCCTCTAGGCCTTGTGTCCACAAATACTGTGTCACACAGCTTGGGATCTTTTCCTTCACAATGAATTCATCTTCATCCATCATTCCTTTACTTATTCTCCCCAGTATTCATTTATTCATGTACATATTCATTTCCTCCCTCATCCTATTTGTTTACTCCTTTCTTCACTCAAACACATATTCATTTTCCTCCCTCCTCACATTTATCACAAGAGTAACTAAATACATAACAGATTGTGCAACTCCTGGTGTCTGCCTGACTTCTCAGCTCAATGTGAAGGATGAGGGCAGGAAGCATGTCTTCTTCACAGCTGTGATACCAGCATCTGGCCCCATGCAGAGCCCATAGCATGTGCTCTATAAATGGATTTCTGCAGCCATCCATTCACTGCACATGCATTCATTCTTTAGACATTCCTCAAACCTCCGTGGGTACCAAAACCTGGGCCAGACATGTTTCAGGAGAAGAGGGAGAAGGAAGAAAATGTAGGATAAATTATCCCAGCCCCTGTCATCCACCATTCCCTTCATCCATCCAATAAACATTTACTGATGACACTTAGTACCGAATCCTGAGCCGGCGACTGCTTATGCAACTGCTTGCATAAGGATGATCAAGGGAAGGCTGAGGCTGAGCCACAGCTGGGCCTCAGAGAATGGGCAAAATGTCAGGAACAGGGAGGAGGAAATGTAGCTAGGGGAGAGGGAATGGCAGGAACAGAGGTTTCCATGAACCTCACCCTGCCTGGTGGTTAGGGGACAACTGCTATCAAGATAGCTTGGGGCAAGTCATGGAGGCATTTAATTACTAGGCATGAGAGTTTGCGGGGCTCCAGGGGAACTTGATCTGGGCCTGTCATTTCCAGGTGTGAGAAGGCAGGTGAGGCAGGCAGCACTGAAGGTTTCAGGTTGGTTGCTGCTGGGCAGAGTATGATTTCCTGTTTGCCTAAAGAGGAGGAAAAGGCCTTCGAAAGATAGTGAAGATTCCCCAACAGGCCACACAAGCCCAAAATGGCTTGGACAAAGCTTTGTGATGACTTTAACGCAAATGAACTAAAAGTACATGGATTAAATTTTCCTCCCCAAACTACATGAGCTGTGGAAACAGAAAGGTGCGTGTTTAAGTGTAGGCCCCTGGAGCTCTCTTTGAGCCTGTCTTAGCGCATTGACACACCGTGGACGCGGTTAACTCTGCAGGTGCCACAGTTCCACCCAACAGCTTTGGACCTAATCAAGGATAAAGGGGCCTCAGCCCTCTAATGCTGCAGCTCCCCTCCCCAAATCTTCTGTGCCCTGGCAGGCCCTGGCAGAGATCCTGGGCCCACTCTTGGCCTCTTTGACCAGGCAAAATTTGCTCCTGGGCCTAGGTCTTCAAAAAACACCAGCTCCTTCTGGCTAGCCGGGAAGGAGAGTAAACACCAAATAATAACAAAACAATAGGTATAATTTTAATATTTATTCCTTCACATGTAAACACATTCAGTTAACAAAACACTAAATCAGTATCTCCTTTGACCCTCATCAGAAGCTGAGGGGATAGTTGGCTGGGGCGGGTGGTGGATTATTATCCCCATTTTACAGATGAGGAAACTCAAGTCCAGAGAGGTTAAAGTGACTTTTGTAAATGTCACACCTCTGCTACAGTGCTCTAATGAGCCCACTGCACCAAACTTCCAAATTGGTAAGATCATGGCGTCCTTTTTCAGTGAAGAGTGTGCCCCAAATGTAAATAGACTTTATCTTCCTTCATCTCCCATGATTCCCAGTAACTACATGGTGTTGATGGTCTGCCATCATTTTAACGAAATGGGGGCCTGAGGCTGGGACAGCAGGCAGGCTGGCCCCAGGTCAACCAGAATCAGTGTCAGGTAAGTGATTCCTGTGGTTCTGTGGTTGAGATGGGCCCTAAGAAGCTGTGGTCTTTCCTCCCATCTCATGGTAACCTAGGGGTTAGAGGTAAGGCTACAGTCTGCAACCGAGGTCTGGATTCAGCCCAGGCAATAACCAGAGACCAGGTCTCCTGGCCCCAGCCCAGTGTTATTTCCACTCTACCTGCCCTGACACTGACCTAGGGCAAGGCCCTCCCAGTTTTTTCAGCCTCCCTATCTGTAGCGAGAGGGTGTGGGAGAGAAAGCCTCTAGGGCCCCTTCCAGGGTCCAGGCTGTAGCTGTGAACAATTCTGAGCTCAGGATGTGAAGGCGAAGCATGAGAGCAGGAAGTTCCAGGCTCCAGGGGGTGGGGGCAGGCCCCGCTAGGAGAGGCAGAGGGCACAGAAGCCACCCCTGACCGACTTCACAAGATAAGGCCCACCCTCACCTCCCCACTTCCTCCTCTCCAGCCCCAGGGTCTCCTTTGCTTCCACATCTTGTTGACTTTTGAATTTACAAGGTGTGCCAGTTGCCAAGGCCCCCAGTTGATTACACCCCCGGACCTGCCTTAGGAAAGCATCCTCCTCCCCAAGCCCCCACCAGCAACTGGGAGGTGGGGCTGGGAACACAAGATGGGATCTCTCAAGTGCTGGAAAGAAATTAAAGAGGAAACTTATCGAAAAGAGGACAGAAGAGAGAAAGCAAAGGTAAGTTCCATTCTGGAAAGGAAAGGGGGAGGAGCCACATGCAATTTTATAGCCGTGTTCTGAAACTCATGACTCTTGACCAGGTCCGACTCTGACCGTGGGGGAACGCTCAGGTGGGGTGAGGAGCTTTATGGTGTTTGCTTGGTTTATTGGCTTTGTGGAAGAGGATATGAGGGCCCAGGCAGTTCTCTGGAGATAGGACCCCTCAAGGAAAGGCCAAGATTTATGGTTTCCGGAAACCCTCAAGGTTACTGGCCTAGGCCTAGGCTTTCCTTGGTTCCAGGGATTTAAGGGAGGGAGGGCCTGGAGGTGAAGGAAATTCCAAATCATGGTGAGAATCATTCCCCAAAAGACTTTATCTTCCTTGTCTCCCATGATTCCCAGTAACTACATGGTGTTGATGGTCTGCCATCATTTTAACGAAATGGGGGCCTGTGGCTGGGAGAGCAGGTAGGCTGGCCCCAGGTCAACCAGAATCAGTGTCAGGGGAGCAACTCAAACCCGTTTCTCCTGGTTCCCACTCCAGGGTGCTTTCTCTCTGGGCTGTTTATACTGGAGTGGCCTTTGGCGCCCAATCAGAAAATACCTGAGTCACACTGGCTAAAAGAAAAGACGTATTGCTAAGGGCTCTGGCCTGGAGTCACCTCTGTGTCACCACATGCAGGCTTGGGACAATAGCCATCCATCACTGCTCAGCAAGGTGGCGTAGGTGTTCCCTCGCACAAGCATGTGACTACACCAAGGGTGCTTGACCTTCCGGGAAATGCTCCTGTGGACACTATCCGTGGCCAAGTGGTTCTGGAAACAAATGTTTCATTGACAACCCTACTTCACAGGCATAAGAGGCTGGTTCCTGACACGGCCTTCCAGTCTTCTGTGGACCCTGTTAGCAGGATAAATTTTATTTCTGAGCTTAATTAGGGGACATGCCATAAATATTCATGCAGCAAAATGAGCCCAGGCTCACAAGTGCAGCTGCTTCCCGCTTGGGGGAAATTAACATTGTTTTCCAGCCATGAGTAATGAGGCGCCACTGCTGGAGAGAGGAGCCTTTTCAACAGCCTCTCTAGGACAGAAAGGGAGAGCCACACTCAGAGGCACCCGCACCCTGGGAGCCAGCCTGGCCCCCGCAGACCCCTCTGCATCTCCAAATGAGGGGCACAGCTGGGCTCCTCTGGGGCTCAGTCCTGAAGGGAGCCCCCACCAAGGTACTCAGCAGAGCAGACGATGCATCAAGAACAGGGATCAGCAAGCTATAACACAAGGGCCAAATCCACCTGCCACCTGCTTTTGTAAATAAAGTTTTATTGGAACCCATTTGTTTAGATATGGTTACAACAGCAGAGTTGAGTAATGTGACAGAGACCTTATGGCCTGCCAAGCAAAGGAAAATATTTACAACCTGGTCCTTTGCAGAAAAAGTATGCCCTAGAACTGTTTCATCCTGGACATTTGTGATTATTAATATAAGTCCCATAATCTCAAATTCTCTGTAACCTTAGGAATATCGAATGGTTTTGAAGTCTCATGGTTTTAGAATCTTCTGTGCATAGACTCTGGAACCAGACTTCAATCTCAGCTCTATCACTTCCTTAGCTGTGTGACTATGGGCAAGTTACTTAACCTTCTCTCTGCCTCAGTTTATTTATCTATTAATTGGGGGTAAGAATAGTACCTAGCTCATAGTGTTGTTAAGACTGAATGAATATTTATAAAGCCCATAGAAATGTATTCAGCATAGGATAAACTTTAAGTAAGTACCTGTTAAATAAGTAGATTCAATCTCCTGTAATTTCAAAATCCTCAAAGAATAGGATCTTAACCTTCCCCTACAAATGTCAGCCTGTAAGATCTTAGAATCTAAGCTGTGACAGGGAGAGCCCCCAACTTTCTGACACTGTACTAAATACTTCATGTGCATTATCTCATTTAATCTCCAAAACGACTCTTGGAAGTAGGAATTACAGGTAATTTACATATAAGGAAACAAACTTTGCAAAGGTAGGAGACTAATCCAAGGTCACAGGGGTAAATTGTAAAGCTCGAACAGGAGCCCAGGGTACCTGACTCCAAGCCTACCCTACCCCTCACCCACTGCCACAGTCTCTCCTCTGTACCTGTCACAGGGTCCTTCGGCCTCTTCTGGGCACCTACTGTGTCGGGGAGCTCACTGCCCCTGGAGACAGCCAGCTCCGTGGCTGGAGAGCTCACACTGGGATCTGCTCTTCACTTACTTTTGCTCCTCCCAAGTTACCTTTGGTCCTAGTTTGTCTCTTTGCAGCTCTGAAGAGCCCAGGCAAGAGACCATGGACACTTCTGGGGTCATCTCCCAACTTGCTGGGAGCCAGCAGCAGCCTGGGCCTCAAGCATTTGCAACAAACTAGACCCACGAAAAGACAGAGCTCCGTAGCTTTGGACAAACCATGCCTCCAGCAAGCCCTCCCTGGTACCAACAAGAAGCAAGGACCCTTCTTTCTCCTTAAGATTCCCAACATCCCTGCCTGAACCATCACTCGATGAGACAAGAGCCATGTCCTCATCTAAGTCTTGTCATAATACTCCTAGGATTCTCTAAGCCTTGTAATCTTTCTTCTTGCTGTCAGTGTTTTGAGATCTAGTCTGTCCTATGGTTCTGCAGCATAATGAAGCTCATCATGTGCTGGTAGCATTGCTTTTATCCTCAGCATTCTTGACCTAGTAGGTCAAGAAAGTATTACCATCCCCATTTATAAGATGATGTACCTGAGACCCAGAGGGGAGGAGGAACAGAAAGAAAAAAGAAATTATACTATAGCAGAACCTTCTGGTACCAGGCCCTGTGCTAAGCCCTTTGTCTCATTTCATCCTAACACATGTGGGTGCTCACCCCACTTTCCAGGAAAATGAACTGTGGCATCTAAAGGAAATCCGACTTGTTCTGGGTTCCATAGACAGCAGGAGGAGGAAGACATTGATCATGTATCTACTGTGTGCTAAGTACATTCATACACATATATGCCTTATTCTGCCATCACACATACACAAAACCCGAAGATGGGTCTTTCTAATGCCTGCTTGCCAGATGTGTAAACTAAGGCTCAGAGGCTGGGGTGGCTGTCCCAGGGGAGAGGAGCTGGGCCCCAGGCCTCGCTGGTGTGGATGAGGCACTCTTGCCCGACCCCAGCAGCTGTGGCAAGACTCAGACCATATCCTTTCAGGGAGTGGAAAAGGAAACACTGGGCCTTTTTACAGGGTTTCCATGTGCATGACCGGGAGCCCCTAAGGATGGCCGATCCGCCACGGATGGGAGGAATGGTTTGTTTTTTCTGTGGGCCACTCTGGAGCCTTTCAAAGGTGTGAAGTTCCATGGCCTGCAAAAGCTGATTCTACTGGCTATCCAGAGCAGGCCCTGCCTGGGCCCCAGCCCCTGCAGCCCCCACAGTCCCCACAGCCCCCACAGCCCCCGCAGACCCCGGTCTCTTCATGTGCCGCCCATGGGAACTCCCTCCGGCCCACCTGGCCTCGCACACGCTGAAAGGCTGCAGAGTGACAGGCCGGCAACTGGACTCTGATGTTTATTCACCAAACACAGAGACAGCCCTCCAGGCTCTCCTCCACCGTCCAACCCTCTGCTACCTCAGGGAATAGGGGTCACCAGCCCACTCCCAGGCCAGGATCCCAGCACACTCACCTCTGGAGACCGGCCACAAGGAGGAGCATCCAAGCTGCTCCTGCAGGGAGAGAGACTCTGGTTAGACACAAGGAAGAACCAGCTGCCACTGAGGGACATTCAGCTCAAAGAGAGAAGAGGAATCTCCTGAAGTGCCGTGGCATCTTGGTAAGGACCTGGGCTCTTTGTAACCCCTGGGATGAGGAGGGGTGAGGCTGCATGATTCCCAAGCCCCACTCTCTACCAGTTCTGACAATGTCATAATTCTGAGGTTCCACAGCATGAGACAGGGGGTCAGACTGGACCACAGGATCATTTCTAAATGCTTCTATCTCCAGAGCTGCCAAGTGATTGACGGGACAAGGCTGAGCAATTGTGTTGGAGAACTGCTTGGTTGCTTTCCTGTACATAGTCAAGGAAGTTGCACGGTCACTTTGTAAAAACGGAACTGCTGGTATTACTGTTTTTCTGTTGTTCCTCTCCCCGCTACCACTTTTATAACTGAACTGATTGCTTTGATTGGACTGGCCTGTTGTTCATCTAAACCAGCCCCTTGCTGGACTCAACTGACAGGCTGTTTGTCGGCCACAGTCAGCTGTGGATGTGGAGCTGGTTGGTGTGTAGCTTTCCAGATTACATATTTTGACTAAATGGACTGGTCTGAGCCCTGCAATCACCCCAGCCCCACTCCCCAACCTCACCACCAGCCTTGACCTTTCCAGAGAATTGCAGTTCCACGAGTGTCAGGCATAAATCCCGGCCAAATCCACCATGAAAGGACACACAATATTGTTACGGGTTTAAAACTGGGATTCAAATCAAGAAGGCAGAAAGCCCCGATGGAGGACCTGTTGTGCCCTGCAGCCTTGCCAGGCAGTCCACGTGGGCTGGACCGAGCCTGCGGTTCTGACCCTCGTCCGTGTCAGGGGATTGCTGAGCCCCTAGCACAGCCCTCTCACTTGCCTCTTTAACTCACTTCCTTTCATTGCTGACAGGTCCACCAACTTTCAATGGGGCTGTGGCAAGAGCTACTCACCCGCCCACCCCCACGCCCATTCACCCTGCCCACCCCTCCTTGGCCTTTCAGGCTCACAGTGAAAGGGACTTGTCCAGAAATCGGGGATTTACCATTGTGCCCTTTGTAAAGACTCTCCATTTCCCTCAGCCCCACCCCTCCCATCTCCAGAATCAGTAGGGGTGGCCCCTGCAGAGCTGCAGATGGACACAACAGAGCACAACACACCCAACACCCTTATTTAGCATCAGGGCTGAGGCCTCAGAAACTCAAACTTTGTTTCGGAGCCGGAAGACAACCTCTAGATTTCTCCTGCCTCCACCCACTCCCCATTTTACAGATGGGGAAACAGAGTCATAGAATGAGGCCTCTTGACACCTAGTGTGCTATTCCATTAGCTCATTTGCACTCCCCGTTTCTTTTCTTACTTCTTTCAGAATTGAGGAGATAATGACATTTGTCGTTTGTGTTAACAATATGCGACACCACTGAAAACTGTGTACAATGGCTGTAGCCAGCAGTCTAGGAAGTTTGGGGTTATGGTTTTGTTGTTTCACATCTGAAATCAAAAACTAGAGTCATGGAAATAGCAGGTCTTGGTTGAACTGCCTCTAAAATAAATAGAACCACTCGCCTGACTAATTTGAAATTCAACTCACAAAAAGGAAAAAGCTAAATTGTAATTTTCCTGTTTCTAATATTTTTGCTCCCACGTTTAGATTATTTAATACAACTACCTATTTGTGGGTGGGCCTGCTGGGGACCAGAAAGGAGCTCTAACTCGCCCAAAGGCACACAGCATGGCAGGCAGGTTTGGCCTGACTATCCTCTACCTCTCCGGCAGGCATTTCAGTGTTGGAAAAATCTTGGCTACATTGAAACAGTATTCCTAGAACCAGTTGGGCACTGCAATTTGGTTAGCTGTGTGGCTTTGCAGTTTCTAAACTAAATGGTTTATTAAGAATAGATGTGTCAGGCCGGGCGCAGTAGCTCACGCCTGTAATCTCAGCACTTTGTGAGGCCGAGGCAGGTGAATCACTTGAGGTTGGGAGTTGGAGACCAGCCTGACCAACACAGAGAAACCCTGTCCCTACTAAAAATACAAAATTAGCAGGGCATGATGGTGCATGCCTGTACCCAGCTACTTGGGAGGCTGGGTCAGGAGAATCGCTTGAACCCAGGAGGCGGAGGTTGCGGTAAGCCGAGATCGCGCCATTGCACTTCCGGCTGGGCAACAAGAGCGAAACTCCTCCTAAAAAAAAAAAAAAAAAAAATAGATGTGTGAGATACCATCTCATGCCAGTTAGAATGGCGATCATTAAAAAGTCAGGAAACAACAGATGCTGGAGAGGATGTGGAGAAATAGGAACGCTTTTTACACTGTTAGTGGGAGTGTAAATTAGTTCAACCACTGTGGAAGACAGGGTGGCGATTCCTCAAGGATCTAGAACCAGAAATACCATTTGACCTAGCAATACTGTTTGATCCAGCAATCCCATTACTGGGTATACACCCAAAGGATTATAAATCATTCTACTATAAAGACACATGTACACATATGTTTATTGCAGCACTGTTCACAATAGTTAAGACTTGGAACCAACCCAAATGCCCATCAATGATAGGCTGGATGATGAAAATGTGGCACATATATACCATGGAATACTATGCAGCCATAAAAAAGGATGAGTTCATGTCCTTTGCAGGGACATGGATGAAGCTGGAAACCATCATTCCCAGCAAACTAACACAGGAACAGAAAACCAAAGACCACATGTTCTCACTCATAAGTGGGAGTTGAACAATGAGAATACATGGACATAGGGAGGGAAACATCACACACTGGGGCCTGTTGGGTGGAGGGGGTGGCTAGGGGAGGGATAGAATTAGGAGAAATACCTAATGTAGATGACAGATAGGGAGGGGAACATCACACACTGGGGCCTGTTGGGTGGAGGGGGCGGCTAGGGGAGGGGTGGAATTAGGAGAAATACCAGATAGGGAGCGGAACATCACACACTGGGGCCTGTTGGGTGGAGGGGGCGGCTAGGGCAGGGATAGCATTAGGAGAAATACCTAATGTAGATGATGGGTTGATGGGTGCAGCAAACCACCATGGCACATGTATTCCTATGTAACAAACCTGCACATTTTATACATGTATCCCAGAACTTAAAGTATAAAAATAATTTTAAAAAAAAGATGTGAAAGCAGCAAAAGCAGTTGATTTCAATGCTTCATCTATGGGAAGATTGCCATGATCTCTGAGCATTTCTAACCCAGGCTGCTCCCTCCCCTACGAGGTGCTTTATGTGAACCTGGGGCTGGGAGATTCTGCATGGGAACTGAGCTGGAGAAAAGATCATTAGAGGAAGATAGCCTCGTATTTTGGCGGTCACTGCACAGACTCTGTCTTTATGGTGCCTGAATAAAAAGCAGGAGGTTTCATATTTAAATTGTTTATCTTTGGCTAGTCCTTCTACAGAGATTTGGGATGAATTCACTCCGAAGGCAAAATTTTCTAAATTACCAGGGTGACTCTGAAGCTGACTTTGTTTTGCTTTTGGTTTGTTCCTAAACGTAACAAAATCCCAAGTGTTAATCTCCGGCTGATATCTAACCATCCTCCCAGTGGGGATTTATGACTGGGTGATGAGCCACCACGTCTCGCTGAACCCCGATGAGGACATGGATAACATCATCAACTCATCACTGAACCATCCTCATCAACCCAGCTTTAATCACCCCCAAGACTGATAACCATCGGAGGCTGTTAATTCCCAGCAAATTATCTAATCCACATGTTGTCCCATCTGTGTAAACCCAGCCCATAAGGATCATAAAATAAATAAGCATGAAATGGCTTATAGTTTCGAATCTCGTCTCACCTAGATAGGCCAGGCTGTATGATTTCAGCCACTATCATGGCTCCTACCTCCTTCCAAGGGGGAATGGGCAGCATGGGTTCCTATGTGGGCCTGCTCGATGCTGTTTCTAGGATGGAGGCCACACACACACCCCTGCCTGTCCCTCCCGCTCTCCCTCCCATATCCCAAATGAAGCTAAGGCTTCATTTCACTGATATGTTAATCACTGAAATAGCCTTGTCCTGCAAGACACAGGCATGGTGAATTAAGATGCTGGATGATTTGCAAAACGAAAAGCAAGCTGTCCCTTGAAAAATAGGGGGCTGGTAGGAATTTGTAATGATGAGAGGCAGGCAGAGAGGGGAGACAGAAAAGGAGGCCGGCGGCTCTAGGGGATGTAAGGAATGATAAAATTAGACTGCGTTGTCTAGACATAAGCACAGGGTTACCGAGAGGTTTCGCGTGTGTGTGTGTGAATAGGACTGAGCAAGGAATAGGGCCAAATGGCCTCTAAATCCCTTTTTGCCTCTGAAATTCTTCAAAGCTATGTCTAAAAGCCTATAATTGTAAAATTCTGTAACTCATAGATCTGATACTTCTCTAACAGATACTCTCTGATTCGAAGGTTCTGTGATTCTAAGAGTTTATAATCCGGTGAGTCTGTAATTATAAACTGCTATGATTCTCTAATTCTAGACACTATGGTTCTCTAATTCTACCATTCCATGATGCTAATATCCTGTGATTCTAAGATTCTATCAGTGTTTCCTTAATTTAATACTCCACCATTCTCAAGTTCTGTGATTGAAAGAGGTCATGATTCTGTTTTTCTATAAATTTATTATTTTATATTTATAATGCTCTACAATTCTAGTATTCTAGAATTTTGATTTCATAATCCTAGAATTCTAATGTTTTATGCTACTAAAAATCTAAAGCATTTATATGATTTTGTAAATCAATTTTTCAAGAATTCCGACAATCTAAGATTCTAACATACTGGGTTTGTAAGATCCCACAATACAAATTTTTTTAAATTCAATGTTCTATATTTTGAAGATTAAATCTCAAGAAGTCTTAGTTCTGAAACATTAATATTATATGCGATCATGATTCCAACATGTCTCCTATTTTATGATATCATCATTACAAATACAAAGTCATTTTATCTACAAAATGCAGGAATTAAGCTGCAAGTGACGAAGAATCAAGGGACTTCCACAGCTGTCCCCCTAATCAGATTGGAGCACATCCCAGGGCCGTGGATTCTTCCTCAGTGGCAAAGGAGACCTGAAGACAGCTGCTTTACCCAGCCAGGGCTCCCGGAGCTGCCTGGGAAGACAAAGGCAAGGAAGATGGGGGCCCGGCCAGGGTCAGGCCGAGGAGTTGGCCCCATGCCTCCAGGAGGCCCCTCCTCAAAAGCCAGGTTTCCAAACATCTGCCAGCATTTGGGTCCCGATTGCTGTCCTTTAAAAGTATCCCTCTCCTTTTCTTGTTCCCCATCAAGGGCTCCCATGACAATCATTTCAAGCAGCTAATGAGTTTCAGATGGGCTTTGGGAGCCAGGGACGGATGGACGCTCAGAGAGGAGGGTTCTTAGGCGGAGTTCCGTGGGCAGGGGGAGGGGTGGGGGTCAGCAAGGAGAATCTTTTGTAGCTGAAGTATTAGGGGCCACCCACCCCTCCCAGGCCTGGGGACAGAACCTGGGAAGGAGCCGGAGCCGTGATCATGCTGCTTGCTCCTTCCTGCTCGCCCATGTTTGCTCGCTGTCGATATAGAGACCCACACTCCCTTTCTAACGCCTCACCCACTGTTTTGAACTTTGATGAAATAAAAACCCAGAAGCATTATAGGAAACATTGAGGCCTTCTTGAGGCCAAGATGTGATTACTCACCTGCTAATAGAAGGGTCTTTGCAAAAGACAGAAATCGTCCTTGTTGAAATTCCATCGTCTGTGATTCTCTCCCCTTCCAGATTCACAGGAGTACATCCAGAGGCTGCTGTCAGCTCTCACGGGTGGGGTTGGCTGTGGGGTCCCTGGGGATGCCGACCCCTGGGCCCTCTGGCACCATACGGGAGCAGCTCAGCAATCCTGCCGTTCCCTGTCCTGGACTGCTCTCTCCCTTTGGCCCAGGGCTCTGATGGGGGTGACAGTGGCCCCAAAGAGCTTTCTCCCTCCTGTGCCGGGGGTGAGGAGAGGCCAGGGGCTCAGGAGAGGTGTCCCAGCCTTCATTTCCATAGCATTCAGAGAGCCCAAGGAGCAGCCCGTGCCCAGAACCTGGCCAGGATTATACAGTGGGTTCTGCAGCGTTCTCACTCCCTGGCTGCCCGAGAACTTCTGCTGCTTTCAACGTCTAGTTTAGGGATTCACTTAAATGAGCAGAACATTGAGAAAGACACACCAATGCATTTCAGGTGTGTCTTTCACCTCTGAAATGCATTGGTGTGTCTTTCTCAATGTTCTGCTCATTTGTGGAGCAGGGTTGTGGAGTGTGTGGAGTTTCACACACTCCACAACCCAGCGAGGCCATTCCCTACCAGGAATGTAGGGGGACGTTCTGCAACAGGATGTGTATAGTTTAGGGTTTGGAGGGGGGGTCTCTCCTGGCAAGAGAGACCAAACCTTATAATTAAGTAACTCTCCATTTCCTTTAAGATATCAACAACAACAACCACGTTCTCCCCAGTTGCCTAAACAGGGCAAGTCCCCGGTTAAGCAGTTCCTGGTGGTCTGTGCTCACACATGTGCAGAGAGAGAAAAAAATCTGCCTGAAAGCTGGCCTCCCTGGCTTCCCAGCAGCAGGCCACCTCCCTGCCCCGCCGCCGGCCCCTCCCCCGTTCGCAATTAGGGGTAATCTTTTGTTGCCTGGAAAGTGTAAAAATCGCCGGCTTTTCTTTTTGCATGCATAATATCCATTTCCCCTCCAAGTGCGTTATTTGGTTTGGGAATTACATCTATTTACAAGAGTAGATGTTGCACAAAGGTTGTGTTTATGTGGAAAATTATATCGGTGACACGGGCTGATTGGCATGTGGAGGCTGGGAGAGCAGGCCTTCTCATCAGCTTGGAATAACAAAATGATTGTATTTTCAGCAAAGCTAATTGATCACATACCTCGCTGGGCTATCTGTTTACTCAAAGGCCATCCAGGCCCTGGGAAGGTGGAGAGAAGACAGCCCGGGGCCGTGGTCACTGCCAGGCCGAGCCAGCCAAGGGCTGGGGTGTGAGGCGGAGACAAAGGGCCTGGACAGGTCCTCAGGTGGTGAGGTTGGGCAGGGAGATGGGCTGACTGTTCTCCCCGGGGAAACCAGGCCCGGGCTTCACACTGGTGACTGTGTCCTTTCTCCAGACCCCAGAAGTCAGTATGAGGCAGCGCAGGTGTGGGGAAGGGCTGGTTGGAGTAGGATCTGGAGCCACTGAAAAGAAAAGTAAATTCCCTTCTCTCATCCATTTGAAAAGCAGTGGGCTTTAAGCTGGTGCTGAGCTGGCTGCACAGGGCTCGTGGGAATGAAAGCTCTGGAAATCTGTCTCCATGTGTCCGTCTTGACCGAGGGACTCTGTCTTTGCTCTTCTCTGAAGAGCTCTAGATCAGGGGCCAGGAGTGGGACTAGGAGGATGCATGGGAGAGAGGGACGTTATGGGGTGGGGGATGCTGTTAAGCAGTACATTCCGCTTCCAAATCTGCAGACAGAGAAACCTGAACCCAACCCTCTCTGACACCCTGCCGGAACAGATCTTGCTCCTGCCTTTGGGGAAGGAGGTGCTTATCTTTAGGTTTATGACCAAAATTCCTGGCCCCAGGCTGACTGAGCCTGTGAGAGGTCTCCTAAGAAGATATTACCTCCCCTTAGTTGACCCACACTGGCCAGGCCTCTTGGCCCAAACAGCTGAAGCCACCTAAAAAAAGCCCAGAGTTAGAATTGTATTTTCTCCCCAGGGTTAAAACTTCAGTTATGTGGGGGCAGAAAACAAAGCAGTTGGATATAGTTAAACAAGTATTTGAATTGAAAATGGACAGTTATTTGAGAAACGACTTGTCCGCAAATCACCAAGAAACATTAATTTACCAGTCACTTTGCAAACATGAAGTTCCTTTGAAAACTACTGGTTAAAAACAATCTGATATCCCTCTCCTATTTTATGAAGATGGCTGGTTATTTTGCAGACTCCCAGTTGGAGTTAGTCATGCTGCTAGTTACTCTTTACAAACAACTTGGCGCAAGCTTCAGCTCCTGGTTTGTCAGGTTAGAACTATGATTTGGTCTTTCTTCCCATTGCTGATCAAATTCAGATTTAGTTAACTTTTCCTAACGCAAAGATTAAGAAATATTTGGGGGCAATCAATAATGATCCTTCACTGATTTCCTGAAGCAAATCCTAAAATCCTCAGAGACTATTCAACCCAACAGCCTTATTTTACAAATGGGGAAACTGAGGCCTAGAATATTCTAGTCTTTGCGATCCCTGCTGGTGACATCTGAGCCAGGTTTGAGTATTACTTGCGTGTACTTGGATCAGGTGATGCTAAGTAAACTTCAGGTGCTTTTTCTCTAAGCTCAGTCATGAGGTTTTTCACCTCTACCCAGGTCTGAGTCACACAAGTCTGAATTTGGAATATTTTAGATATTGTTGTAATAACCTTCTGGTAACACTGTGTATGTGTGTTTGTGTATGTGTGTGTTTGTCCACCAGGCATTTCAAAATCTCTGGCCCTTCTGAAAGACAGGCAAGTTTATTAATGCAGAGCTCTCCGAATTGTTTTATAATTGGAAACATTTTGCAATGAAAGAACATTAATAAAACCTGAATCCAAATCAAACTTCTCTGTGTATGTTATTTTTACTCTGCAGTCAAAAGCTTTTATTAGATTTAAAACTTTCACTGTGCTTATCTCTGGCTGTATAATGTTCTACAATAAGAAAAAAAGTCCAATGACTCTGAAGTCTGGCAAAATAATATACTTTCTTGGATGTCTCTGTGTGTTGCCAATTAGCTTTGCCATGAACATAGGCCCCCATCCATCACCCGCCTCTGGGTGGCTGTAACAGAGACCTAATTTGTTTCATATGCCCTGTGTTCTCTGAGCCATTCACCAGTGCCTCCAACCTGCTGAGGAGCAGCTTGGCTGGAGAAGAGATGAATGACAAGAAAAACCCAAGAGGAGACAGAGAGACCGCTTATCAGAAATGGGCCCTGCTCTACTCACTCAGTGGGAAAATCCCAGCCCTTCATGCCTCCAATTCCTTCCACCCACCTCCCACCCCACCCCTCTTTCTCTTTCTCCTCCTCTTCTCCCCTTTCATGACCTAAAAGACCCAGGACTCACAGAAGGCGAGGCCTTGAGTGGAGAGTGGAAAACTTAGCCTTGTCTTCCAACTTCCAAGGGCTGGCTGCGGTCCTCTCCCTTCTCTGCCGGGTTCCCACTCCCTCCCACCTACTCCTTTTACAAGCCCAACGTTTAAACCTCCAGTTCCCTAGGAATTTTATGAATGCTCAGCACAAGCCAAAATAAACTCGTAAAGAAAAAGTTTCTAAAGAAGGTCATAGACCCGTACAGCAAGTGCTAAGCGGTAAATACAAAAGTTCTTGGGGTCTTTGGGAGCTGTGGTCTGGGTGGTGGAAGGTTGGGGTCAAAAGAGGGAAAAGGGAAGAACAGGGAGAAAAAGTGAAGTTTCCTTTTCTCTCCTAGTCCTAGACCCTCAGAGTCTTTATTGCTATTATTTTGTAAAGCCTTATAGTTTGATGCCTCATTTTATGGATGCTGTAGCCCAGAGTGTTGGAGGGATTGATTCAATGTCACACAGAAAGCTGGCCCGTGTGGTGCTCTGACACCCATGTCTGCAGGCCTCCCTCTCTGCGGTACTGACACGGTGAGGGGAGGAAAGGAAGGGGCCTTGGGATCACCGAGCGGTCTGTTTTAACTCTCTAGAGCAGTGATGTCCAATAGAACTTTCTGCAATGGTAGAAATGTCTTCTGTCTGTGCTGCCCAATACAGTAGACGCTTGCCATATATAGCTATTAAATTAAGTAAAATTTAAAATTCAGTCCAACCAGCCACATTTCAAGGGTTACCATATTGAATAGCACAGATATAACATATTTCTATCTCTGTAGAAAGTTCTATTGGATAGCGCTGTTCTAATGGCCACCGTCACCAGGCCCCAAGGATATGCTTGTGGTCATGATGCCAGGTGGCTCCTTCCTCTAGGCTTTCACAGCCCTCAGTACCTTCACTCCCCCTGTCATGACAGTTGCCACTCAATTATAAATGACGATGTCCTGTCTGTCTTGTCCACCTGAAGGAGAGCACTTTGGGAGCTGCGGTCCTGTCTCTTTTCTCTTTTCACCTCCACAGCATCCCATGAGATAGGTTCTCAATGATGATTTAGTCTCAGAATCTTAGAGTTGTAAAGGACCTTAAAGGGAGTCTAACAGAACTGCTCCCGGGGCAGGGACCTGCCCTGCAGCCTCTCAGAGGTAGCTCATTCACCCACTGTTTGCACACCTCTAGGGGCAGAGACCTCACTGTCTCCCCAGGCAGCTGAGTCCATTTCTGAGCGACTGGGATTATTAGAATATACTTTCTCGAATCTAGCTGAAATCTCCCTACTTGCATCGTCTACCCTTGCTCTGCCCTCTGGCATCTCACAATATTAATTTATTAATTAACAAAATCATTGTTTCTATGTAACGACCCTTCTAAGAGCTAGACATAGTATAATTCCTCCATGTTCCTCTTCAAACATGAAGTTTATCACGGAATGCCTAATTCTAGATGTGGGCTGGTCAGCAAGGATAGCAGATACTGACTTCCCTTGATCTAGAGACTATTCTTCTGCTAGAGCCACCCACACATTTAGCAACTTCATTACTCCATAGGCTCATCTTGGGTTTGGGTTGTGTAAACCTCCCAGGCCATATGCATGGCCCATGACTACATTGCCCCAGTGGTGAACGGGATGGAAAAGGCCTCTGCCAATGCTACTCTTTGACCTGGATGTGCAGGGGCATTGCTCCTGCCTCACTTCTCAAGCAGTCTCATGCTTTGAGTGCCAACCTCAACATTTTCTAAATCCCTCTCCATTGCCTGGGACTGACTAGGGCTGGCAGTATCCTATAGATGGGATGCTGTGAGCCCAGACTGACACCTGTATAGGCCCTGGTCCATTTCTCCCCTTCAGGGCTCTTTCCAACCCTCTCCTTCACACAGGGTGTTGACCAGATGCCCTAAGGAGCTCTAGGATTTACTCCTACGGGCTTTTCCTGGGGCTGCACGGCCAGGCCCTGGGCCCAGTAGAGCAGTCTTGCAAATGGATCACTTCCACTGGCCAGTGTAGTACTTCT